AAATAGCTTGGCTGAATTCTTTCATTGGCCGCAGGTGTGGCCACTTAATATTTTTCGCATTCATTGTGGGATCATCTTAAATAAATGAGGATTTACATATTTACATTTAAAAGATCTAAATTTTAGTTTTTTCAAACATGTTTGTCATCTTACATATATGAGCAGCATCAGTATCATTTTTTAGGATAAGTAAAATTATAAAATTATTAAATTATATAATACATGTATATTATATTTTATTATTATTATAAAAAAAATGGAAATTTTAATGAGGGTAATTCCAATTCTGAATATAACCTAGCTCCATTCCTTTTTACATATGTATCAAAATGACTTATTTTAGTTTTTAAACGTAGAAAATGATGATTGATGTGTGCTAGAAAATTCGTGGCGGTAAAGTGATGGATTATCGTCTTAGCGTTGCAAGAAAATTAAACACACACTCAGGAAAAAGAGAACAATCAGTTATGGCAACAGAAGCTTTTACGTGAAACCTTGTTAAAAAAACAATGAGATCTAGCCCAGATGTAAAAATTCACTATAGATTGATGGTTACAGGGATTCTCTATCCCATATACAGGAAAGAATTATTAGGTTTTCCAAGTTACAACATTGACTGGCGGCTTTCGGTCGGTGGTGATCGACGGTGATTGGTGGTGCTCGATTGTGTTCAGCGGTTGACGACAGTCGGTGGTGGTTGGCGGCGAAAGTAGTGCACGATAGTTGTCGGTGGTTGTCGGTGGCAGACGATAGTGTTCCACTGCAATCGGCAGTGATTGGTGGTGATCGAAGGTGGTCAGCGGTCGGCGGTCAGTAGTGGTCAACGGAGGCCATCGACAATCGACGGTGATAGGGGCGATGAAGGTGACAGAGATGGTGCTGGACTTCAACTCTTTCTCAAAGCTTTAAGTTTTTTCTCAAGCCTCCACCACACCCCCCTCAATTTATAGTGTTCTGGGTGCAATGAATGCAGGAATATGACCACTTTGATCTGGCGGTCTGGAGAATTTCCTTTGATCAGGTGGTGCTTGATGGACATTGGAGTGCCTCAACGATGTCGAAATTGAACAAGCTTGGGATATGTCGGTGCTTGACGAGGTTTGACGACTCATTGAACCACGTGACGGGGACCAAGAGGGATAGATCGTGTCCCGTACCGTAAGTCTGAATTCTATATTTTTGTATAGATCTAGGATCGGGTATGTATATGCAGAATCCGACTGTTTTTTTGCTACTTTTCTTTTGATATGTCGCCGACTCAGCGCCACTTACGCTTTTATATATTTTGGAGTGATTTTACTTTCATTGGGTGTTTGCATGTGTCGGCACTATTTTTGGTGTGGGGTTTG